GGCAAGTAAGGGTAAATCAATTCATTGAATTGCTGACTCAAAATCATGATGTATTCATATATCACAGCGCTTGTCAGGACTCCAGCGAAAAATTTATTTAGATAGGACGTCCTCCATAGGAAAAATGAGGATGCTGCAATGCATGTATACTTAGGCTTACGACTTACCGGATTTACAATAAGTTCTTAAGCTACTTGTATTCAGTTTTGAATGCACTTTCTGCAGCTATTGGCAGATATCATCTATATGAACGTATACGCCTGAAAATCTCTTAGAATTGATCAAAAAAAGTTGAAAATTTCGATTTTCAAGTAAATTCTTTAGTATTTCTTTTTCAGTTCACAAATTTCGATCACAACTCCTGATAGGGCAAAAAAACTAGTCATAACTGATGCAAACAATTAAGAGTCAGCTGTTCTCTCAGTAGGAAAAATTGACATTTTTCACATCATGCTTTAGAGATTGGTGCATCTCTTTAAAAAAAAGTAGTTTGTTTTACTCTTTTCCTGCTATTCTGTTGGCATCGGTTTATGTCTTCACCCTTAAACTTACTTGATTACTAATATGAATTTCCTATGTTATTGATGAAGATGCAGCGTCACGTTATTTTATATTGTTACTCGTCGAGATCATATAAAGTATAGAATGAGAGTCGCTCACCGTATACACCGATATTTTACAACAAAAAAAAAAAAAGGAAATCATTGAAGCATGAATATATGACCAAAGAACAGCTAGTAACGTTTATCGTATCCTGACCTCTACTAGTACATCGTACAGTGACCAACCATGTGGAAATAAATAAAAATACTATACACGATATATATTAAGAGTCACTCTCTCTACACACATACATTTAACAACGATAAAAAAGAAAATCATTGAAGCATGAATATATAACAAAAGAACAACTAGTAACGATTATCGTATACTCACTTCTACTAGTGAATCATACAATGAGCGCACACGTGGAAATAAATAAAAATACTATCTACGATATATATAATATTGGAATGAATAAGACGTGAATAATGTTACAATGAAAAAGATTTTTTTCGTTTTTTGAATACGTAGTTAAATAAAGTTCGATAAGGCATGTAGTAATATGTATTTGTTTTGATGGGTTTCTACCAAGAAAATTCGAGTTTTTTTTACAGTCTCAACTAATTTATTTTTTCTTATACGTGAAAATAGTACCATATGCAAGTAAAATCTGTTCTCAACGTCTTTTGGGATTTTGTGATGTGGGTGTGGGTGTGGATATAAGTGAATAGTGAAGATACCCACATCCAAGCAGATTAAGCAGTGCTATCACGTATTCTAGTTTTTAAAGAATTTTCTAGTTTTTTAAATATTAGGTCACTCGAACTTGCAGTCAATAATTCTCATCTGAATGATCATTTTTCGAATTCTAAAAAGAAATTTTTACCTGTAATCACTTCTATTACTGTATTGTCATATTTTAACTTAAATTGTGTGTCTAGTGTTTTCTAGGAATACAGGTTGATCACGTTGTTTTTAATAGTTTTGTGTAGTCTACTGTATCTAGGTACAACATCGAAAATTTCCTATTTTGATACAGTTGGATAGAGCATTAACTGCTCTTTCGGATCATATGGTTTCGATTTTATTTCCTTTGGCTAGACTTCAAAAATTAATAAATTACAAATGAAGTGAAAAATGTGTTTTTGCAGAACGCTCAATTTTGTAGTTCATTTTTATATCATTTAATAGGTTTTATTAAAAAACAAAATATATCAAAAGATGCGCCGTGATAAGCTCTACAATTGACAAAAGACCGCTTCTTGAGGGTGTAGGTGTGGGTGTGGGTGTGGGTGTGTTTACTCCCTGTTACTCTGAACCCATACCCACATCCCACACCTAGACCCACACCCACACACACACCCACACACACATTTCTTTATTTATCGCCATAAAATAAGACTATTCATTTTTAAGAAATCACAGAAATAAAACTTTAGAAAATATGAAAACTTCTTATTGGAAGAGAACACAATATGAATCATATGATAGTACAAAATGTTGCTCATAATAGAAGATTACGAATCTAGTATTTATGTAATCTATCCTGCATCCTGTTTTTAAACTGAAATAGTTTATTATTTATTAAAAATTTATTCTTTTCTTCGTTGCATTAAATAAATAAATTGTAAGTGATCGATATTCTATGAAAACGAAGCAATATTTTAGTTTGTTCTCTGGCTTCGCAGATTTTTCCAGGTCAATTGTTTTTTATACTAAGACTTAGTATTGGGTGTGTTCGTCATATTAATTGTTTTCACATCTTTCTTATTTAATTGTGTCTCAAAATAAATTGATTAAATAAGTCTATACTGTGCACAATACAGAGTTATGAATATGTATTATAAACCACTAACGTACGCAATATTTATCTGCTAGTGCTTAGGAAGTATTTTACTATCATGTTCAATTAATCAATTTTCAGCATTCATATTATAGATTAGAACTACTGATAATTGATCGCAACACTTCTTATCTATATTATTTATGATTGATTTATCCATGGTACTTCCATTAGAGATACTTTTCATTATACTATTCATAATTTCTGTTACATATTTCTTACGAAAAGAAAGCATTTAAATCTAATACATGGTACATTTGTAAAATAAACACAAAATAATATTTTAGGCAACTTCAAAAATATTACTTGCTATAAGGAACATATGACAGATCATATGCAATACAATTCTTATAAAAATAGTACAAAATAAACATCCAGATTGCTTTTGAGTTTTTTCTTGTAAAAAGTATCTTCTGTTTTGAAATCTTCGGAAAATAGTAACTATTTAAAATGTTTATAATTGAAGTAAGATAATCTGCTGTACCAGACGATTTGATATACTTGCATGTTATTGTTGTTGTTGTATTTTATGATCTTGACGAAGAAACAAGAAGAACTTTGTGCTGACAATTATGATACAGGTGTATCACTATTATCAATATCATTTAATATACGCTTTGATTTTATTCGAACTCCAATTTTTTTCAAATGTTCTTGATTTTTCAAAATAAATAATTGAGTAAAGTATCGTAAATTACTTTTACATCCAGATTTAACAATACATAAATTATCATTCAATAAAACACAAGCATTTTTTGAATTTCATCCAATGCTTTACGTTGACACTTTAGTATATCGAAAACATCGTCGATATTCATCAATGAATAGGCACTACGAACACCTTGTACTTGAAGTAATTTAGCTTCAACAGGATCAGCTAATTCACAAACTAATTCATAGAAAGGTTCATCATATAATGATAGCACATTTGGAGGAAGAACTGTAATATCTATGTTCAATTTTGGTGATGGCATTATACAATAAAAATTGTAGTACTAATATAGTACAAACGTGGTGAGATGATATTCTTAAAAAAAAGGGCTACATATGAGCAAAAAATTGATAACACATTACTTGAATGATCCTTATATCATTCGAACTGTGGAAATATCTTGCGCATACATAGATTATACGCCAGAAGATGAACAATTAGTTACTGTACTATGTTGATAGTTGTTTTCAATTTAAATTCATCATCTTGAACAAGACCACGTGATTAGCTGCAAAAAATAAAAGAAAAAAACACTTCGAATTCTTTAATATCAATGGAAGACGTTCACCAAAAGTAATGTACCATTACTCTCATGATTTCTATCGTGTAAATTTTATATTTTCGTCATTCAATCAACTTTTATACCCTTAGTTTCACATATATCGTTTGGATTGTAATCGTATCCTCTGTATCCCCAATGTATCCTATGGATTCCCATTGTATCCTACGGATCCTATGGATTGTGACTGTATCCCGGATAGACAGAATCCGCTTTTTTCCCCTTGATCATACTTATTAGACTGTAGCTAACTACTCCTGGTTCTACTTTATTATCACTAAGAGATAGAAAAAACACACTTGATCTGCATGACCAATCAAGAGAGACTAAGAGTGAGAGAAAACACAAGAGAGGTAGTGGTGGAAGATGCCACTACCTGACAATACTACCACAAGAAAATTTCAGTTCACTGAAATAAAGAGGATGAAAATAAAAAAATCTATGATTTTTAATGAGTCATCGTACAAAAACAAGTGAATCGCACATTCCGTTTAGCAATTGACGATCTATTGGTATATATCAATTGCGAATACAGCTGAAGATCCAATGCGTTCTGTAAAAGAAAGAGTTTGAGTCTTCTCGTTATTATTTTATGAAAAAGCGACGTACATCCTTCAAAAATGAGCTTTTCACTCATTTTAAAGAGAAACATTTTGAAAACTAGACAGCATTTGAGTTTCACTCGACTATAAACTGACGATTTTAAGGTTCTCACAGACTTCTCAACATTCACAATTGTGATAGAATAGAACATGTGGGTTTAGATTTGAATAAGATATACACACGCCCACACCCACACCCTACTGAGTTTTCTAGAATTGATAATTTTACAATTCGAATTATATACTACGCAGAAAATATTATTTAATTGAGCAAAACATACTGAACATGAGATGGAAAAAATAATGAGCATCCTCAATAAAATACTGTGCAAAAATATATGCCTTTTTTAAATTAAAATTTAATAGTAATGAGAAAGATAACGATACTATGAAGACGTTTAAATCAGAGTAAACAGTAGTTCTTTAATATTAAGTGATACAGTGCATGTATTTCTTTTATTTTTATTAAATCTTGTTTATAACGTTTCACAAGTGATAATATTGATATCTATTATATTTCTAATAAGAATTAAAAACAACTAACAAAAAACAAAGTAAATTAGAAGAATCAAACTAAAATGATTATTGTCTATTCAAGAAACGTATATATAGATGATTTCAAAAGAATACATTTAATAGCAAACAAAAGTAAAACAAACTGAAAATTTTCTTTCTTTATTTTTATAAGTTTTCGCTTTGTTGTTTATTTTAATAGACTCACTACATAGTTGCACATGTTGAAAATTTGCTTTTCATTAAATAACCAGGAGAAATGACTATCGCCATACATTTGAAATAACTGGATATATTCATGATTCACTAGTGTGTCAAGATTATTAAATGTTGTATTGGTGTAGTATGAAAATAATTCTAACTGATCGTTCAATGGAAAGTTTTCATCCATCTTGTTAGCTTTAAATAATACAATATTTGTATTTCTCTTGGTTATACTTAATCTAAATAGTTCATTGTCTATCATCGGTAAATAAGAATAGTTTATTGGATCGATAATATCCACTTTATCTATTTTGCCAGCATCAAAAAAAGCCTTGCTTACATTAAAGTATGAGTCGATCATAAAAATATTACCAACTTTCTCGCCAGCATTAATCAATTGGCGAGAAACTTCAAATGATAAAATGCCGCCAAAACTCCAGCCTAAAAAGTTATATGGACCATCATGTTGGATTTCTTTTATATACTTTATGTATACAGGAGCTAATGTCTCGAACGAGACGCCTTTTTCCATATTTTTTGCTTGAAGATCAAGATAGTAATTATTGAATATTACCAGTTTACATTGCGATAACTGAGGCACAATGTTGTTGAAGTAGCTTTCAGCACCACCGTCACCCGGTGGCAAAATAAACAAAATATTATCGCAACTTTCATTGATCACAATAAACGGATGCTCGCAAAAATTCGAATAGGTAGCATTTTCATGTGAAACTTGAACTTGTTCATCGAGAAAGATGCCCTCCTGAGGAGAAGACGTAATGTCTACAAGAAAAATCAATGGGTTTATATATTCGATGGACGTTTCTTAATTCAAACATGTTTTACCTTGATTGATATGTAGTGTGTGCCATCGTATCGTCTGCGTATCATTCGATGGAAGTGTTTGAAGTAATTGTGCATGTTGTCGAATAGTTGGTTGCTGAAGAAAGAGACCAATCGAGAGTGAATGAGCATCGAAATTGAATAATGACTGGTAACGATAATAGAGTTCGAGGAAGCGAAGTGAATGACCACCAACACTAAAAAAACTGGCAGTTCCAGAAATGTGATTTTCATTACAATGAAGAACTTGACACCAAATAGTGTGTATACGTTCTTCGAACTGATTAAGAGGAGTATCAGATTTATCGGACGATAACAAAGTTGATAAAGAAAAGTCGGGTGAAGGAAGTTGTTTTCGATCTACTTTTCCATTTGGATTCAAAGGAAATTTATCAAGTATGATGAATATGGATGGAATCATATGTGGTGGTAGATGAAATTGACAATATTGACGTAGTTGTTCTTCACTCATATGAGATGATTGAACATATGCAACTAAATAATCATCATTCCATTTCATGACAACACAAGTAGATATAGATGTAATGGTAAGTAAACATCGTTCGATTTCACCAAGTTCAATTCGTTGTCCATGTAGTTTGATCTGGTGATCTTTTCTTCCTTGGTAATGAAGAAGACCATTACTATCCATTCTAACCAGATCACCTGTTCGATAAAATATTTCACCATCTATTTCAAGAAGAGCTTTTGCAGTTAAATCATCGCGATCAAGATAACCAGCAAAGATGCCGACACCTCCTATTAACAATTCGCCTTCTTGATTAGTGATTGTTTGTTGTGAATATTCATTCATAATCGTACATCGATAATTGAAAAGTGGTGTACCAATTGAAACGGCTCGTGCATCAGGTATGAGATCTACTCTATGGAACGTAGAAACTATAGTTGTTTCAGCTGGACCGTATAAATTCCACACAATATAGTTCGTTATACCTATTTTCACAATCAATTCAATCAGAGGAACAGCAAAAGCTTCACCTAAAATAACGCAAACGTAATGTAAGGAAATGACGAGAATTAGTATTGATCACTCACCGATACTACAAAGTGATCGAAGATATTTTACAGCATTTGTTTTCTTGTTCTGCTCAATAAAAATGAAAAAACTGTGTAGTAAACTTGGTACAGTATGTAGATATGTGATTTGCCTGTTGTTTAAGACTTCGAACAAATAATCGAAATCAGTCGTTCCACCTGGATGAAGCAAAATCAATGTGCTTCCCATTAATAATGAACCAAGTATTTCTTGAACATGAATATCAAATGAACATCGTGTCATTTGTACAACTGTATCATCTTTATTCAATGAGTTTATATAAGCCAAAGAGTGTATACAATCAATAAAGTTCTTATGTCGAACTTGAACCTATGAAAGAGCATAAAAATCAATCAAAGATTCGAAATTCAGTATCAACAAACCGCTTTGGGTGTTCCAGTTGAACCACTAGTGAAAATAATGTAGGCTATCTCGTCGCCTTTCATCACCACATTTGAAAGACAATTGCCATTCATGTCAGTATTCAGATCATTAATAATTAATACTAAATCAATATTAAGTGAAATAATATCATGATAAAACTTGATCTTAGTTAAACAATGAACAAATACAAGACGACTTTTAGTTTGCTCTACTAGTGCATACAAACGATGTTGTGGATCTCGAGGTGATAATGGACAATAAACACCACCAGCCATTTCGATTGCCATAATACCAATCACCTAATCAAAATCAATCTCAAACTCTCATCAATAATTATTTCTTCTAATCGACTTACCATTGACAAACTTCGCTCAACACACTGACACACGACCTCACCTGGAATGACATGATATTCACTAATAAGTGTTAAAGATAATACTTGAACATAATATAAAAGTTCACAATATGTCAATGACTGTTCATCTAGTTCAACAGCTAGTTTTTGTGGATGTTTCATTACTTGATATACAAATTCATGATGAATACAAGTGAGAGGAGATGAAAATGATATTTGTGTGTGATTCAATGATTGCATTAGATATTGTTCATTTGATAATGTTAATGATAATTCATATATAGATTTGTTTGTTACACAGTCGAAAGATGTGAATTGTTGATGTAACATTGTCTGCAATCTTTGCGCAATTATACAAATTGTTTCAGTATTAAATAAACCACGTGATGCACCGATTGTACATGAGAATTCATTTAGATTTGGATCATGTTGAAAACTAAGAATGAAATCAAATTTACTCATTACTTCATCTTCGCTAATCTTAATTGAATAAGGTAGTAAAGAAAATCGCCTATCGCCAATTATTATTTCAGTCTCCTCATCTCTTCTCATAGATGATAGAAACTCAAATGATGTATCAAGAAATACAGGATTTGATATATTTGGATGTTGATTGAGAATACGTTGAAGAGGAAAATATGAATATTTAATACAGTTTATCATAATATCGCGAACGTGTTTAGTAAGTTTATGAAATGATACTTGAGGATCGAGTCGACATCGTAAAGGTATAGCATTCACAAACATTCCAATGATAGACTTAAGTTCATCTCTATATCGACCATGTGTATTTATTCCAATGCATAAATCTTTTTCTCCATTCGTTAACTTGAATAAAAACACATAATAAGTGGCAAGTGCAAGTTGTTCAAGTGATATATTATTTGATGATGCATAAATAAGAAAGTCATGTGAAAGATCTTGACCAAAATCAAAAGAAATAGATGTTCCACGATCAGTTCGATGTTCATTTGAGAGACGATATCGATCAAACGGTAATGGTAAAGATTGATCGAGTTTACAATCATGAAGTGTATCAAGCCAAAACATACTTGCACCAGCCATTGACATTTGTTGTTCAATAACAGCATCTATATAATCAGAGAAGATAATGTATTAGAAAAGAGAAAAGTAGAAGTAGTATTTATATTTACAATCGATATAACGCAGAGTAGTGTTGTCATCATATAATAATTGACCTGTTGTATATGCTTGATTGAGATCACGATGAAACACTCTCATTGATGGAAAATCAAATAAAGCATGATGAAAGTTGAAAATAAGTAGATCTCTGTCAGAAAGAAGATGATTCGAAGAGATTTGTTTATAATAAACAAGATGACACCGAAACACAAGACCTTGAGCAAGATCAAAAAGATGAGGATTTCGTTTCTCATCGTGCAAAATCTCATTGAGTTGTTCATCTGTTTCATAAGTAGATTCGATGATTGAAAATATATTATTGTTATTATTTTTATCTTCATGAGTAATAACTCGTTGCATAAGTAGATTCTTTTTGATATCAAAATGAAGTGATGTATGAAGTGCAGGATGTTTGTTAAGAGTAAGATGAAGAGCATGACGAAGTTGTTTAATCGATAGTGTATGGTCTGGTTGCAGACGATAAACAAAAGGCATATTATAGATTGCTACTTGACGTTTATCAGGATCGAATCGAATCCTTTCGTCATGCCAAATGCGAGCTTGTGCAAATGATGCTGGTGCTAGAATAGTAAAAGCTTAGTGGGTTATAATATAAAATCTAGACAGTCAAATGATGTTTGATATCAATACTCTAGTTACTTCTCATCTAATCGGTTTTTTAACTAAGCAGAATCCTTAACTAGACTATTGCCTTAGTATTAATGTTAAGAATGCATTCATGTTTTGCACGGGAATAAAACAAAATATTTTATTATCCCCTCAGAACAAAAGGTGTAACATCGAATCCAATGTTTGACAGATTTTACAATCTATACACGTACATATAATCAGTGAAAACAACAAAAATATCTGTGATTCTGATTCCGCTTGCATAAATATTTATTTTTTCACTTCGATCTTAGTTTCGACATCCAAAAGCTTCCACAATTTGTTACTGATAACTAGTGGCGTACCACATACTTAGTACTTAGTCTAGTTAGAAGTCAAAGAGGACTAGTCTCGCCAATGACAATGCATTTTAATGCATATTTCTTATTACTGATTTAACTGACTACTACTTTTATAAAACAGTAAAACAAGCTGCATACAATCATACCTTCATTTACAATAGTCTCCAATCGATGAAACACAACTAATTCCATTTCTTCAGCTTCTTCAGGAAGAATAAAGCAAACTTTGTTAATTGATGAATTCATATGATTCATAGGAATGTTGCTTGATTGTGTTTGAAACACTTGTTCAAGCATATATTGAAATCTTTGAGCTATTTTTGAAATAGTTGATTTTTCAAATAGATCCCGTGAACAAACAAAACGACATGATAATCTCTTATTATCTGATAATGGATTATATTCAAATCTTAATAAGAAGTCAAATTTAGCCATTTCATAAATCTCATTTAACGATACTTGTTCTAGATTAACTCCATTCAAAGATAAATCAATACCTTCATTTGATATAGTGACGAAATCAAACATTGTTTCAAGAAATGATACATTTGATTGAGTGAGATGTAAATCACTAAGAATATGTTGTAATGGATAATGAGAATGCTGAAGAATTGATAAGCATTTTTCTTGTACATATTTAACTACTTCATCAAATGACCAATGAGAATCAATTTCAACACGGCATGGTAATGTTGATACAAACATTCCTATCATATTCACTAATTCACTTCGATATCGATTAGCATTAATAGAACTAATACAGAGATCAGTCTCACCATGAGTTAATTTGAATAGAAAGACATAAAATATGGATATTCCAAGTTGAAAATATGTGAGATGATGTGATGATGCATAGTTTAGAAATGATGTGCATAATTCATTATCAAAAATGATTTCAGCTATAGATGCTAAACCTGATCGTTGTTGATTTGTTGATGAACGTTGTCGATCAACTGGTAATGATAATGAACATTCGCTATTGTATCTTTCAAGTTGAGAATGCCAGAACTCACGAGATAATGACATATCTATAATATGTTCATGAACAGAATAATCTATATATTCCAATGAGTTATCATCCATAGGTAAAGACTTCTCAGATTGATAAGCAAGAGAAAGATCACGAAGGAAAATTGATGTTGATGCTCCATCAAACATTGCATGATGAATGGTAAATAATATGAAATCATCTTTAGTCAATAGATCACTATTCTGAGTAAATGAAAGGTTTGATTGCTGATGACGAAGAATATGACAATTAACAACATGACCTTTTGATAAATCAAATAAATCAGATTGATTTAATATTTCATCAATAATTTCATTCATATGAAGATGATCATCATTGTGAATATTAATAATTGTCAATCCATATGATTTCATATCATGGTTGAAAATGATATTTGTATCTAAACAGTGTTGTATGATACGACCATTTGTATCAAGATAGAGTGCTGTTCGAAGACTACTATGTTTTGTGATAAAACTTTGGAATGCATGGTATAATCGAGTGATTGATATATGATCATTCATAGATGATATTCGATAAAGGAATGGAACAGCATACATATTATTCATTGTTATTTCTGATGAAAAACAAATTTGTTCATGTAAATAGATTCGTTCTTGTGCAAATGATGCTCTAGCTAGAATGAGAAAAAAGATAAATATACAGTTGATCATAGTATCAACTGCAGGTTGTTTTGTTTACCTTGAGTGAGATGTAATGAACACCAAGGATAGTCATCGAGAGTGTGGATGGTATCGATAGATTGTTGAATGAGTTGAGCATGATGAATAATTGTTGGATGTTGAAAGAGACTAGATATCGAGAGAGTATTTTGTATTTGTTCTAAATGAAATTCGATCTTGTATCGATTGAATAGTTGCATGATAAGTAATGAATGGCCACCAATAGTAAATATATTTGTATCAACTGAGATCTTATTTAGTTTGAATATCTCACACCAAATACGATGAATACGAGCTTCAATATCATTTGTTGGTAGTAATAGTTCTATGCTGTTTGTGAGATGTATTGATGAGAAGCTTGGTGATGGAAGACGTTTTCGATCTATTTTATCATTTAGATTCAATGGTAGTTTATCAAGAATAATAAAGAATGATGGAATCATATGTGGTGGAAGATGAGATTGACAATGTTGATGTAGTTGTTCTTCATTCACATGAGAAGATTGAACATATGCAACTAAATAATCATCATTCCATTTTATGACAACACTAGCAGAGATGGACGATATGTTGAGTAAACATTGTTCAATTTCTCCAAGTTCAATTCTTTGTCCACGTAATTTGATTTGATGGTCTTTTCTTCCTCGATGATGAAAAAGACAATTGTTATCAATTGTAACAAGATCACCTGTTCGATAAAATATTTCACCATCTATTTCAACAAGAGCTTGTGCAGTTAAATCATCACGACCAAGATAACCAGAAAATACACCGGCTCCTCCAACAAATAATTCTCCTTCTTGATTAACAGATGTACTTTGTAAGAATTCATTTAAAATCAAACATCGATAGTTAGGAAGTGATATACCAATTGGAATGCTTTTAGGATTAGCTTTAACATCAATATAATGAAGTGTACAGGTTATTGTTATTTCCGCAGGACCGTAATAATTCCATACATTATACTCTGACACACTGTTATCTGCGATTAGAGTACTTAATTGCACAGTGACTGATTCGCCTAAAAAGATAGGTGAAATAGAACAACATGCTAAAGTTCATTTCTAAGCTACTTACCACCAGTACATAGTGATCGGAAATACTTTGAAGCGGCTGTCTTGCCAGACTGTGCAGCAAGTGTGAAAAAGCTTCGAAGCAGACTTGGAACCATGAGTATGTATGTAATTTGTTTCATTTGAACGATATTGGAGAGATAGTCAAAATCGATTGTTCCCCTTGGATGAAGCATAACCAGTGTAGCTCCGTGCATCAAAGCTCCAAATATTTCTTGAACATGAATGTCAAATGAACATCGTGCGATCTGAACGACATTATCACCTTTGTTCAATACGTCGATTTTCACTAATGAGTTCATGCAATGAATGAGATTTTCATGGCGTGCTTGAATCTATTAGAATGTAGAAAAATGAAAAATGAGGTAGGAATTCAAATCGTAACATACCGCTTTTGGTATTCCAGTTGAACCACTTGTGAAAATGATATAAGCAATGTCACTAGATGTGACTGTAATACTTGACAGTTGATCAACATTAACTGGATTCTCCATATCATTATTCATTAACATTGATTGAATATCAATCAAAAGCATATAATTATCAAATTTCATTTTTGTTAACCAATGAAGAAGAACAAGACGACTTTGAGTTTGTTGTACGAGTGCATATAAACGATGTTGAGGATCTTTAGGTGACAGTGGACAATATACACCGCCAGCCATTTCTATTGCCATTATACCAATCACCTATACAATATTAAAACTTCAATCACACTAAAAATCAATTACAAACAAACAACTCACCATTGACAAACTTCTCTCGACACATTGACAAACTATTTCACCTGGAAGCACATGATATTCATTAAGAAGAGTTAAAGATAACACTTGAACATAATATAAAAGTTCACAATATGTCAATGATTGCTCATCAAGTTCAACAGCTAGTTTTTGCGAATGTTTCATGACTTGACAGGCAAACTCTTGATGAATACAATTGCTAGAAGGAAATGACACTTGTGTATTATTCATAGATTGCATGAGTAATCTTTCATCGGGCATTACTAATGATAGTTCATAGATTGATTGATTTGTTTGGTCATGAGTAGACGCAAACAATTGTTCGCAGATCGAATGAAATCGTTGTCCAATCTTTTCAATTGTATTTCGATCGAACAGATCAAGTGATCCGTTGATTGTGCATGATAGTTGATTAGTTTTCGAATTATGTTGCATAGTGAGAGAAAAATCAACGTTACTCATGATTTCCTCGTCATTACTTTTGATTGAGGTCATTGACATGGCACGAAGTCGACTATCATCGAACAGT